CCACTGCTGCCACCCCTTCCCCGCAGCGGCTCCTGGGAGCCCCAGGAAGCCCGACAAGCAAGCCTGGGAGATGCAGGCAGAAGGTGCCACCGTGTTGGTACCGCTGGGAGAAGCCCTGTCCTTCCTGGCCAGCTTGGTGCCCTACCCACTTGAAGCAGCCTCCTTCCCTGGCGGTTCTTGGGGATTGGGGAGCCTGTGGCCCCCACACTGGCCTCTGACAGGTGCCCTCTGTGTAGAAAGAAGCTGCTGGAGACCTCCCTGTCTGTTCGTCATCTCCGGCACCCTTGTCGCCAGGACCATAGGCTTGGTGGGTATGGTCTTTCACAGAGACAAGTCAGAGGCGCAAGCCTCTTGCCCACACCGCTGGGGACAGGAAGGCGCTCTTTCAGTCTCTCCTCTTGTAGGAGATAGGGTGCCAGGAGGGAGGTGCACCTGTTCTGCTCGGGTCTGCACTGAGTGCCTCTCTGCCTTCTCCGGACGCTGGTTTTCTTCTGGAAAGCCTCAGACACCCTGGTTTTCTTCAGGTTTACTCTGAGCACCTGCAGGCTCAGCATTACCTGGAGAAGGTGTTACAATGCAGGTTACAGGTCCCTGCATCAGACCAACCGAACCAGAATCTCTGGGTGTGGAGCCTCAATATTTCCAAGAATTCAGTAGGTCTGGGGCAGGGCCTGGGAATCTGTATTTTTAAAATTCTCATTTGGTGCTATTATGGCATTATTGTTCATTTTTATGTATAGTGTTTATTATTATTATTATTATTTTTGAGACAGAGTTTCGTTTCTGTGGCCCAGGCTCGACTGCAATCTCAGCTCACTGCAATCTCTGCTTCCCCGGTTCGAGTGATTCTCCTGCCTCAGCTTCCTGAGTAGCTGGGATTACAGGTGCCCACCACCATGCCCAGCTAATTTTTGTATTTTTAGTACAGACAGGGTTTCACTATGTTGGCCAGGCTGGTCCTGAGGTTACGATTTTTTAAAAGGAAAACCTTTATCTAAAGTATTTAGGGATAAAATGTCTCTGGGATTTGCCTTAAAATAATCCCAGCGGGGAGAGTACGGGTACTGGTAGAGAAGAAACAAATATGTCACCAGCTGTTGAAACTGAGTGATGAGTAAATGGGGGTACACAATAACTATTCCCTCTACTTTTCAGTATTTAAAAAATGTTGGCTGGGTGCAGCGGCTTATGCCTATCATCCCAGCACTTTGGGAGGCTGAGGCGGGCGGATCACCTGAGGTCAAGAGTTTGAGACAAGCCTGGTCAACATGGCAAAACCTCCTCTCTACTAAAAATAAAAAAGTTAGCTGGGCATGGTGGCAGGCACCTGTAATCCCAGCTACTCAGAAGCCTGGGGCAGAAGAATCACTTGAACCCGGAAGGCAGAGGTTGCAGTGAGCTGAGATCATGCTGTTGCACTCCAGCCTGGGCAACTGAGAGTGAAACTCTGTCTAAAAAAAAAAAAAAAAAGAAAAGAAAGAAAGAAAGAAAGAGAAAAAAGTTTCAGAATTAAAGACTTGGGGAAAAATAAACCTTTCCTGGCGATTCTGATGTAGCAGCCCATGGAACTGTATTCAAGATTCATTGGAAGAACCCCCTTGAAGCCAGCTTTCCTGTCTTGCAGCATGATTTTAAAGGAAGCATGTTGATCAAGAACCCTTCATACCATCTTAAGCGTTCTAGTTTGCAAGTACAGGAAGAGCCCTTCCTATGGCAAAGGAAAGGTCCCCTTAGTTGCAATTAACAGGTAGCTTCCTGGAATTTAATCTTTAACTGATTACCCAAAGTCTCAACTGCTCTCTCTTCTTTTCCATAAGTGACAAGATATGGGACTGAAATGCTTATTGCTTACATGGTCAGTAGCCTGGAGAAGTCGCAGAACGTTCACACATTATAATACTGATTATTGTGATTTCAAGGTGATGAAAGCTTCTGTCTTTCTGGCCTCAAATTTCTCCTTCTGGACTCAAATCCCTTCAGTTTTCTATGGGAGGATACTTTAGGAGACCAAACCATAAAGAAAAACAAGTATGTGATTGTCCAAAAAAAAAAAAAAAAAAATTTGACTGCTCCTCTTTCTGCTACCCCAATCAGAAAGAGGGGCTGTGATGTGGTAGAGGGGCACATGGAGGGCTTCTGAGGGCTGGCAATGTTCTTTTTTTTTTTCTTTTTTTTTTTTTTTTACCTGAGTTGTAGTAACACAGGGTTTCGTTTTACAATCGGTTATTAAACTCTACAACTAGTTTGGTGTACTTGTAAGGGTGTATGTGTGTATTATGCTGTGTTTTGAAAACTAAAACAAAATGCTTCAGAACTTGAGAAAGGACTGGAAATGAGAGCAAAATCTGATTCCTTGAAATTCAAAGTTAGGAACCAAGTTAGCCTTAGAAAAACTCTCAGAAGTGAAAATGGGCAGAGGTTGTGAGGGTTTTTGAGCACTGTCCTAAAGCAAGTTCCACATAACTCTAGTTCCGGAGGATGTCATATGAATAAGTTGGGAAATTCAGTCCACACACACAAAATGAGAGACTTAGGGTCAGGCAGCATTCCAATCACCATGAACCTGATGGTCCTTGTCTAAAGTTAATTCGTTTTCTTTACGGTGGGACGACTCAGACCCCCTAACTTGCTACTGTGATCTGAATGTCTAAAAGGGAGAACAGGCTCTGCAATGCTCCTCAGAGTTATAAGTCCCTGGTATATCAGCCCCAGTGAATGCGCTACCTCGGATTTGCTCAGCATTGCCTCTCTCCAGGCCCTTGGCTTCTTGCTCATGGAGATCCTGGATGCTACTGGGCCATGGTCATGAATTCATCCTCTACTGCCGGTGACTGACTTGGCCTTTCCTGGCTTGAGTCTGGGCACCAGCCTGGCCCCCATTGTGTTCACTGAGGTGAAGACAGCAGCAGCTCCCCCACCCTTGTCCAACCCAACTGGACCATGGAGGCCCTGGCACCTCCCACCACTTCCAGACTCAACTGAAGTACCACCGAGTGTGGCAGGTGACCTTGCTCCCCCTGCAGCTGCGCCACCTGAAGTCAAGGTGGAATGAACAGTATGGGAGGCGGGAGACAGGAAGGAGCCAGCAGACACATTTCTTTCTTTTCTTCTCTCAGATGAAGGACTTTGAATCATGTTCTGTTCTTTATGGCCTGCTGGAAACATCTCACATGACTAAGCAGCCAGCCCAGTCTTTGGTGAAGCTGTGGCCAGCTCAGTCACGCAACGCCTTGTACTTGCTTCGCTCCTTGCCTGCCTCGCTTCCATTTTCCTTCCTTCTGTTGGCCTTGGGAGTGTACCTCATAGGGTCTCAGAAAACAATACCCCAAAATGAAGGCCTCCCTCGGAAGCAAACATTTCTCTCTGACCTTCTCCTGCCCTCCTGTCTCTGGTTCCTTATTCTTCCCCAAGGCTAGCCGTAAAAACTACAATCCCTCTTCCCCAAAAACTTGCTGTAAAACCTAAAAATATTATTCTGATTTTCCCCTTTCTTTCTGTGTAAAACTGGCCATAGGAAATTATTTGACCTTTGTCTGATTGCAGGTCAGAAGACCCCCATCCAGAGAGAATCCTGCCCCATATGAGGAAGGAAGGAATGCTGCAGAGAGACCAAAAAGAATCTCGACAGACAGGCCTCGCTGGGTTCCCCACTCGGTCTATCAGCATTACTCTTTTATCCAATCGTATTTTTACATGGCCATCCATACTTTGTTGAACTGAAGCCTAAAAATGGACAGTTTCTCCTGTATCTTTGGGTCTTCATTCTGAAGGCTCCTGTATCTAATAAAACCACGGTCAAATAAATTTGTGTATTTGTGTGCCTTTTCTCCTATTAATCTGCCTCTTTTTTAAATTTATTTATTTTTATTTTTTGAGACGGAGTTTCACTTTTGTTGCCCAGGCTGGAGTGCAGTGGTGCAATCTTGGCTCACTGCAACCTCTGCCTCCTGAGTTCAAGCGATTCTCATGCCTCAGCCTCCCAAGTAGCTGGGATTACAGGCATGCGCCACCATGCCCAACTAATTTTGTATTTTTAATAGAGATGGGGCTTCACCATGTTGGTCAGGCTGGTCTGGAACTCCTGACCTCAGGTGATCCACCCCGCTCGGCCGCCCAAAGTGCTGGGATTATAGGCATGAGCCACTGCACCTGCCCAGCCTTATTCTGCCTCTTGTTGATGATTTTCAGTGAACCTTCAGTGGGCGCGGGGAAGTCCCTATAACCTGCAACTAAAGCATTTAAAATTTGCCTCAGGCTCTGTTTTCTGGAGAACCAGAGCAACAACACGTTGAACCTGTTCTTGAAGGACCAGCTCAGGGCTGGCTTTCCATGGAGTCCACATTGGGAAATGGTGGTGTCAAGAACTCCTTTACTGGGACCTAAGCCTAGCCCTGACATTGCCTCCTACCGGGGGTCCTTTTCATTCACACCCAACCCTCATCTCCAGGAAAAAAAGCTGAATGAAACCCCAGCTCCTTTGAAGAACAGGAAGAGAGCATTGTGCATTTATTAAAACAACATATAACACAAACTCAGTTACCACCCCATATGTCTGGGCTAGGCACTGAAACACAGCACATCGTCCCTGTGAGTGCTACCCCGTCCTCCCGCTCAGGAAAGGAAGTGGGCAGCTGTATCACCCTGGCTTCCTTCCCCTCTTTCTGACAATCGCAGGTCACCCAACGACCAGGCATTATTATACAAAAGTTCCTTTACAAAAAGCACCAAATTGGCATACATATACAAGTATATACAAAAATCACATTTTAAAAATGTACAAAATATTTCATTTTGCACCAATGTAGAAAAGTGTCCTGTGTGATTGTTTCAAGCACATTTTCAATTCTGGTTCAGTGTCTGCTGGACGCAGCAGTGAGGGTCCTACCCTAGTCCCTGCTCTCTGAGCAGAGAGAAGACATTACCTCCCCATTGCCCTTCCAGGGGCCCCGACCCCTCCCACCTGGGCCTGTCACCAAGATCGCTGGGCCCCTCCCCACCCTCTCCAGTCTGTCTGCATCTGGGGGGTCTCTCATTCATCCAGCTCCTTACTGGTGTCCTGAAATGAAGAAAAAGACACAGAGGCACGTGGTGAGACAGGGACTCAGGAGGATCCAAGGCTTACCAAGCTATTGTTTATTCAAACAGGAATTTGAATAAAACATCAAATTCCAATTCCTCCTGGTCTCTTCCTTTTAAAACCAAAATAGAATTTAGCTGCCCAAACATTATGGATTTTACATCAGTACAAAACTCCAAAAGTCTACCCTATAGTTTTCAACTGGATTGGAATTTAGTTTCAGTACCTGTGGTTTGAAAAATAACATTTGCAAGCATGTGCTTATTAGCAAACATCCTTCCTATGCACCAGATACTGTGCTAAATGATTATCTTATTTACTCCCAACTACAACCTTTTGATGTCAGTACTGTTATGCCCCCATACACAGATGAGTAGCCCAAGACTCAGAGAAATTGTGAACTGCTGCAATTCAGAACCCAGGCTCCTAATCAAACTCTGCCAGGCTGGCAAACTCAGATGCCTACAAGGGGCTAGCAGAAAACATGAATGAGTGAAGCAAGCGGGATTGATGGTGGTGGGGCTGGGCAAACTGGCAAGGGCATGTCCCATTTTCTTTTCTTTTCTTTCTTTTTTTTTTTTTTTTTGAGACGGAGTTTCACTGTTTCACCCAGGCTGGAGTGAAGTGGTGTGATCTCGGCTCACTGCAAGCTCTGCCCCGCTGGGGTTCAAGTGATTCTCCTGCCTCAGGCTCCCAAGTAGCTGGGATTACAGGTGCCCATCACCATGCCTGGCTAATTTTTGTATTTTTAGTAGTGACGGGGTTTCACCATGTTGGCCAGGCTGGTGTCAAACTCCTGACCTCAGGTGATCCGCCCGGCTAGGCCTCCCAAAGTGCTAGGATTACAGGCGTGAGCCACCGCGCCAGCACGTCCCCTTTAAAGGGGAGAGCCACTGCCCAGAGCCAGCACTCCGGAACTACAGGGAAGTTCAAGTCCAGCATTGTTTGCTTTTTCTAAACTTTCACAAGAAGGTGAAAATGCAGATTCTTAGTTGAAATCTCCTTTTTCTTAACCCTTAAAAAAGAAACCTAATTTTAAAAATGTTAGCAATTAATTTTTTCTTTTTAAGAGACAGTGTAGTGTCCTTCTCTGGTGCCCAGGGGGGAGTGCAGTGGCGCAATCATAGCTCACTGCAGCCTCTACCTCCTGGGCTCAAGTGATCCTCCAGTCTCAGCCTTCTGAGTAGCTAGGACTACAGATATGTACCACCATGCCTGGCTAATTTTTATTTTTTTTTTGCAAAGATGAGGACTTGCTGTGTTGACCAGGCTGGTCCCAAACTCCAGGTCTCAAGCGATCCTCCCGCCTCAGCCTCCCAAAGTGCTGGGATTATAGGCATGTGCCACCACATCCAGCCAGTAATTTTTTTTTTTTTTTTTTTTGAGATAGAGTCTCATTCTTGTCACTCAGGCTAGAGTGCAGTAACACGATCTCGGCTCACTACCACTTCCACCTCCCAGGTTCAAGCGATTCTCCTGCCTCAGCCTCCTGAGTAGCTGGGACTACAGGCTCCTGCCACCAAATTCGGCTAATTTTTTGTATTTTTAGTAGAGACAGGGTTTCACCATGTTGGCCAGGCTGGCCTTGGCCTCCCAAAGTGCTGGGATTACAGGCGTGAGCCACCGTGCCTGGCAAACAAGTATTTTTTTTTTTTTTTAATTTAAACACAGTGCTGGCCAAACAAAGCACCTCAATGGGCCCAGCCTAGCTCATGAGCCCCCATCTTTTCCCTCTGCTGTGCCATATTGCTTTCCATTTAAGAAGATCATTTAGATGTAAAATGGGAGCATTTTATTATGAATAGTTTGGGGATTTTTTTCTTCTCTAAGGGTAAAGAGAACAGGACTTTACCCTCAATAGGTTTAAAGCATATGCTGGGAACAGGTCTCAGCGTCATTCCCAATGTCTAACACAGTGCTTTGCATATAGTAGGTACCTCGGGTTGTTGTGGAATGAGTGAAGGAATGAAGGAATGGAGGTAGATTAATTTCTTACCTTCCTCCTTCCCTTCTGTGGAGCCTTCCTCTTCCTGATCTTCTTCTTCAATGAATTCTTCCTCTTCCTCATCTGTGACAAAAAACACTTGTGTTAGGATGGGGCCAGTTCCTTGAGGAGTTACTTGAAGAAGAACCAGGCAAGAGAAAGCACCGTCTAAACCCCTTCCTGTGCCCAGTTGGGTCAAACGGCCACACACAGATGGCAGTGGTCTGGGAGGTGATGGGCTTGCCAGCCCCACGCTGCACAGAGGCCCTGCTCCTGCAGTTCCCCGCACTCCGTCCCAGGGAGCCGGGCTCAAGACACTTCCTTGCTCCAGCAACAGCAGCTTCTCTCACCCGCCCTGCCTGTGACCAGAGAGGGGGCGCTGAGGAAGCACGCTCTGTGCTTCTGCACATCTCTTGGGTAGGCAGATAAACATCGCCTGGGGAGAAAAACTCCTCGATCATCAGGGATCAGAGTCCTTGTCTTGAAGGTAGCTACTCAGCCTATGAGATCTGCTTGTTCAGCAGCCTCTGTCCCATTTTCCTCATTCCTTAGCCTGTGGAGGGGAGGGGTGGACATGACGGGGAAGCACTTCTGGAGCCACCTCTGCTCTCTGAAGCTGAGCACCAGAGCGACAGTGACTCAGCTGCAACTCATGTCCCCACTCTTTCATCCTGAGATGTCACCGTCAAGCTTTAACAGGGAACATCTCCCTTCCCCGCTCCTCTCCCAAGCCACCTCCTTAATCTTTTGGGGCCCTGAAGGGGCCACCACAGAGTCAGAACATTTGTCAAGTGTATCTCCAGGCCAGGCTAGGTCGCTCGCGCTTGTAATCCTAGCACTTTGGGAGGCTGAGGCAGTAGGATCACCTGAGGTCAGGAGTTCAAGACCAGCCTGGCCAACATGGTAAAACCCTGTCTCTACTAAAAATACGAAAAGTTAGCCGGGCGTGATGGTGTGCACCTGTAATCCTAGCTACTTGGGAGACTGAGGCAGGAGAATCGCTTGAACCCAGCAGGCGGAGGTTGCAGTGAGCCAAGATCATGCCATTGCACTCCAGCCTGGGCTACAAGAGCAAAACTCCCTCTCAAAAAAAAAAAAAAAAAAAAAAAAAAAAGGGGGCCAGGCACAGTAGCTCACGCCTGTAATCCCAGCACTTTGGGAGGCCGAGGCGGGCGGATCACGAGGTCAGGAGATCAAGACCATCCTGGCTAACATGGAGAAACTCCGTCTCTACTAAAAATATAGAAAATCAGCCAGGTGTGGTGGCGGGCGCCTGTAGTCCCAGCTACTAGGGAGGTTGAGGCAGGAGAATGGCGTGAACCCGGGAGGCGGAGCTTGCAGTGAGCCGAGATCATACCACTGCACTCCAGCCTGGGCGACAGAGCGAGACTCCATCTCAAAAAAAAAAAGAAAAAATCTCCAAAATGACAACCAAAATTCCAGCCAAGTAACTGGGATCAGAATATAACCCAGGGAGTTCTGTTGTTTAATCATTATCACAATGACTACTCTTAATAGCAGTTGCTGAGTACTTACTATGTGCCAAGTAATGTGCTAAGTGTTGAATCTGCACCATCTTATAAAATCTTCACAAGAGTTTCTCAAGCCAAATGGCCCTCAGTAGAATCTGCATGGGCTACTTGCTAGCTGTGTGGCCTTGAACAAGTGGCTTACCCTCTCTGAGCTTTAAGTTACCTCAACTACAAAATAGAAACAGTAACAGAATCTATCCCATAAAGTTGTGTTAAATGATAAAACTTATGTTAAGAGCTTAGTGCCTAGGACATACAGAATATTCAGTAACTGGTGACTGTTGGTACTCTCTTCATTTTACTTATGGAGAAACTGAGGCTCAGGGAGATGGAGACAGAGTTTCACTCGTGCTGCCCAGGCTGGAGTGCAATGGTGTGATCTTGGCTCACCACAACCTGACTCCCGGATTCAAGCGATTCTCCTGCCTCAGCCTCCCGAGTAGCTGGTATTACAGGTATGCGCCACCACGCCCAGATAATTTTGTACTTTTAGCAGAGACGAGGTTTCTCCGTGTTGGTCAGGCTGGTCTGGAACTCCCAACCTCAGGTGATCCACCTGCCTCAGGCTCCAAAGTGCTGGGATTACAGGTGTGAGCCACTGTGCCCGGTGGACCCACTCTTGAATGTCTTAGCTTAGGGAAGCTGACAGTGGAGCAAGCAGCTCATCTACAGCAGTGGATGTCCCCAAGTCCACTGGTATCTCTGCTTTGGGATGTATTTTGTCCTCACCTATGGGGTATATCTGGAGCTCTGAAAACAGACTTAGCACCAGATACTGAAGGTTTGCAAGAGAGCGACACAGGAGGTGCCAAGAAGCTCTTCTCTTTCCCATGCCAGTCCATTTATAGTTCTTCCTTGTTCCTTCACCCTCCCCCTGTCCCCCAACCTCAGCTGGTCATTGGAGCACCATCTCTCAGACCAAGGCAACAGTCGGCAGTGTAGGATCTGCCCTCTGTTTCTCTGTTGTGTTTTAGCTGTTTCTCTTTTAGCTGTGCGACCTTCAGCAAATTAACATTTTTGCTTCCATTCAGTTTCTTCATTTCCCTTATTATTTTCACCCCTATTATTGTTATGATTGCATTGTTACAATTATTATAGGCACTCTATGGAAGAGTAATTACAAACAGAAATGAAGACGATGTTGATAAATTAAGGTGCCTGAGTATCACAGGTGATAGCATTAAGAAGCTGAAGCTGGGCCGGGCGCGGTGGCTCAAGCCTGTAATCCCAGCACTTTCAGAGGCCGAGGCTGGTGAACCATGAGGTCAGGAAATCAAGACCACCCTGGCTACGGTAAAACCCTGTCTCTACTAAAAATACAAAAAAATTAGCCGGGTGTGGTGGCGGGTGCCTGTAGTCTCAACTATTTGGGAGGCTGAGGCGGGAGAATGGCGTAAACTCAGGAGGCGGAGCTTGCAGTGAGCCGAGATTGTGCCACTGTACTCCAGCCTGGGTGACAGAGCAAGACTCTGTCAAAAAAAAAAAAAAGAAGAAGAAGAAGCCGAAGCTAAGACAACCTTTAGGCAATAACTAGTACATCTTTAGGACTCTACAGGACCTTTCTTTTTTTTTTTTTTTTTTTTTTTTTGAGACAGAGTCTCGCTCTGTCGCCCAGGCTGGAGTGCAGTGGCCGGATCTCAGCTCACTGCAAGCTCCGCCTCCTGGGTTCAGGCCATTCTCCCGCCTCAGCCTCCCGAGTAGCTGGGACCACAGGCGCCCGCCACCTCGCCTGGCTAATTTTTTGTATTTTTTTTTTTAGTAGAGACGGGGTTTCACCGTGTTAGCCAGGATGGTCTCGATCTCCTGACCTCGTGATCCGCCCGTCTCGGCCTCCCAAAGTGCTGGGATTACAGGCTTGAGCCACCGCGCCCGGCCTCTACAGGACCTTTCTGCATCAATATCTGATTTTTTGCAATAGCACCATGAGTTGGTCATTATTAGAGGGCTCACTTTTAACCTGATTTTTTAAATTAGAAAATAAAACTCAGGCAGAAGGGGGGCTTGCCAAAGGTCACACAGATAATAAACAAATGGCAGGACCAGGATTTAAACTCAGGACTGTCTGATTCCAGAGGCCATATTATTTCTACTGCCCCAAGAGGCTTCCCTGCCATGGATCCATTGGTAATTTATGAAGCAGGAATTCTGTACCAGGCACTGTGCTAGGCTCTGGGCTCATTAAGAAAGTGACTATATGATTTTTTTTTTTTTTTTGAGACAGAGCCTGGCTGGCTCTGTTGCCCAGGCTGGAGTGCAGTGGCATGATCTTGGCTCACTGCAACCACTGCTTCCTGGATTCAACCGATTCTCCTTCCTCAGCTTCCCAAGTAGCTGGAATTACAGGCATGTGCCACCACGTCCGGCTAATTTTTGTATTTTTAGTAGAGACGAGGTTTCACTGTGTTGGTCAGGCTAGTCTCAAACTCCTGACCTCAAGTGATCCGCCCACCTTGGCCTCCCAAAGTGCTGGGATTACAGGAATGAGCCACCACAACCGGCCAGAAGGTTGTGAATTTGATTGATACCTGGGCATCTTTATTAGTGTATCTGCCTCCCCATGGGGCTCAGTGGGAGGGATGCTGGTTTCCAGGAATCAGGCAGGCGAATAGACAAGTGGTACCACCACCACCTTTACCTGTTCCAAAGTCGATGGCTCTCAGGGCATCTGCTATGTGCTCTAAATTCAAAGTAAAGAAGTCCATGTTCTCAAAGCCCTGCTCTGTCTTCCCCAGCTGGCAGCCCTTGGAAGCTTCCACAATGCTGTGGGGGAGACAGAAAGAGAGGCAGGATGAGATCTCTGGGGCTCAGTGCAGGAAGGAGAGGGCACATGCCTTGCACATGCCCAGGGCTTCTACCCAGAGGCTCCCCTGGAGGGATGGGGTATTTCCTCTCCAATCTTAAGCACAGTGAGTGGTCCAAAAAGTCACGGATGCAAAGGGTCAGGGAAGCCAGCCTAGAGTTAGACCCTCCCAGCAGACCTAATGCCCAGGACGAGGCTTCCTGGACAGAGGTCCTGGTGGGAACTAGGGGCCTGGATCATAGCCTCTGGGGAGACACTGACCTTTTGATGAGTTGCTTGGCAGTCTGCAGGGGGAGACAGAACAAAGGATTAGGACCGCAGAAGAGGTAACCCGAGGAAATCAGCAAAACCAGTGACTGGACATTTGGTGCCATTCCCTAGCACAGTTGTGACCTGCTCCCCACCCCAAACTGAGCAGAATTTGGAACTTTTCCCTCTGTATGTGGTCTGTACAGGTCTTGGTCATCACCCTAGGACCCATTGTCTTGGCAGGAAGCTTGGATTCTAGGGGTATCAATCCAAAAACTCCTAAACCCTGAACTCCCCAATCCTAACCACCTTTTCATACCTAATGTCTAGCACAAAGCCTGGCCCACAGGAGAAGCCTAGAACATTTTTATTGAACTGAACTATGAAGTCTTATAACTGAGGCTTTTCTGTCCTCCCCAACAAGCTCTTTGAGGGCAGGGCTGTGTCTGGTTTATCTCCTTGTATTCCACCTCAGTGCCTGGCCTACAGTAGGGGCTCAATTAATAGTCCGTAGATGGGACACCGTATTTTGCAGCTTACAAAGTCATTTCATAAATATCCTCTTATTTGATCATCATAAAATCAGTAAGAGGAAGGTGGGGGGTGTTACATGCCCATTTGACAGATGAGGAAACTGAGGCTCACAGAGGTTTAAATGACTTTTCCAAGGGTCCATGGGTGGTCAGTGGAGAAGCATAACTGGAACCTTAGAGCTGTCGAGTTGAACTGACCCCACCCAGACCCTTCTAGTCCTGCTCACCAAGAGGAAGGTGGCTCCCCCAGGCTCGTCCAGGGACTGGATGGCCGTCTCCACCAGCTTTGTGGACTTGTCCAGCTGTTCCTGGTACTGCTGGATGAGGGCCTCGATGAAGCTGAGCTTTTCCTCCTGCTCCTGCGTGATCCGCTGCAGCAACTCACTTTTCTTCTCATCCAGGATGGCATACAGCGTGTCAAATTTCTGGCTCAGCTCTTCCTTTACCTGGTGACTGTTCTCCTGAGGACGGAAGTCTTGCAGTCACATTCTGTAGGGTCCTTACTCCCTGTCCGCTACACTCCCTTCCTGGTACAGTAGCAAGGAATCTAAAGCTAGAAGAGATCTCACTACATACATCCCCACACTACAGAAGATGAAACAAAGGCTTAACAAGAAGAAAACACTCATCTGGCCTCACAGCTACTTAGTACACCAGTGATATTTGGAGGCTGATGCCTTGAAAAACAGCTAGCCCCTTCTTCCAAAATAGAGGCTCTAGGGTCACATGACATTACATATTCTTCCTTGTTCCTGCACCCTCCCCCTGTCCCCCAACCTCAGCTGGTCACTGGAGCATCACTTCTCAGACCAATGCAACAGTCACCAACGTGGGATCTGCCCTCTCTTTCTCTTTTTTTTTTTTGAGATGGAGTCTTGCTCTGTCACCCAGGCTGGAGTGCAGTGGTGCGATCTTGGCTCACTGCAACCTCCACCTCCCAGGTTCAAGTGATTCTCCTGCCTCAGCCTTCTGAGTAGCTGGGATTACAGGTGCGCCACCACGCCTGGCTAATTTTTGTATTTTTTAGTAGAGATGGGGTTTCACCATGTTGGCCAGGATGGTCTCGATCTCCTGACCTCATGGTCCCCCCACCTTGGCCTCCCAAAGTGCTGGGATTACAGGCATGAGCACTGCGCCCAGCTCTCCGTTGCCTTTTAGCTGTGTTTCCCTTTTAGCTTTGTGACTTTCAGCAAATGAATGTATTTGCTTCCATTCAGTTTCCTGGGCCTCCCGTTTGTCTCAGATCACACTCTTCCCTCCCTTTCAAGACCAAGACTGGATTCAGGAAGCTCTGCATCATTTGGTCCTAGGAGAGGTGGAAAAACAGCTCGTTTCCTAGCACCCTCCTCAACTGACGCTCCCTTCTATGTTCTTTTCTGTAAAATGGGTGTGACAATAGCATCTCATCAGACCCAGGAGCCTCTCATGGGTTCATGGGTGATCAGAATGTTCCCCTCCTTCCTACCCTTCGCCCAACTCTTGGTCCACTAGCAATTATGACGACCCCTTCCCCTCATCTCATCTCCAGGTCCCTACCCCAGGTGAACATGGAAAATCATGGAAGCTTTTTTCAGGGATAGAAAAGTTCCATTCTGCCCTCAACAGTCTCACTACTCAAAGTGTGGTCCGTGGACCCAGCAGCTTGGGCAAATCCTGGGAACTGGCTAGAAATGCAGCTCTTATGCCTCATTCCAAACTGACTGAATCAGAACCTGAATTTCAACATGATCCCAGGGTGATTTTCATGCACTTTAAAGTTTGGGAAGTGTTGGTCTATAGGAAAGAACGGTGCTCTGAAAACAATTTGTGCTGAATAAACACTGAGAACTATTGATGGGACACTCCCTGAGTTCAGGGACCATGTCTGTCTGGTTCATTCCTCCATCCCCCACATCTCGGGTGGGGCCGGACACACAGCTGTGCTTAAGAAGCATTTGTTGAGAGAGTGGGTGAATGGATTAGTCCCTCCCCTGCCATTCCTGCTTGACCCCCAGGCTCCAGGCCCCAACCTTTAGCCACAACCCATGGGTGAGCCTTCCCCAGAGACCAGGCTGCCCTGGAAAGCTCCAAACCCCCAGGCAGAACTATTCTGTCCCCTCACCTTGGTCACTCGACAGGAGTCCTCCAGCTGAGTGATGATGGTCTGCACACGGTCATTCCCCGCCACCAGCATGGAGATACAGTTATTCAGTTCAATCTAGATGGGGGTGTGGGGGTCAGGAGAGGAGAGATACAAATAGCCTCAAGGCCTACCCACCGGGGCATGGCAGCAACCTGGCTCCCTCCCTCCCCTCTGTGCTAGAAAGAGCCTCCAGCAGGGATCTGGCCCCTCTTTCAGGTACTGCTCAGCTTCAGAGCAGAGGATATTAGAAAGATACTGTATCCCTTATTTAACAGATGAGGCCAACAGCAGGCAAGTGGGCTGCCCAAAACACACAGCAAGGAACTGGCAGAGGAGGGGCTTGCTTCTAAGAAAGAAGGGGAAAAAAAAAGAAATAGAGTTGGAGACGTCTAGAAGACAGAGACCTGGAGAAGAGTGCGGAGTGGGGAAGAGAGAGTATGGAAAGGGGGTGGCTACTGCTGACTGCACGGACAGGGTGGCAGGCCCCCACAGGCCCAGGGCCCCAGCGAAAAGGCTCTAAGCTGCCTCCTGCTGCTGGGGAATGCGAAGTCTAGGAGAAGAGGTGAGAGGCACAGGAAGTGGTATCTGGGGGATGGAGAAGCCGTGGCCCGAGAGGACCCCAGTGGCCTGGCTGGGGCGTCTGACCGCTCCCCTCTGGCCACAGCCAGGTGCTCTCGAGTGGCTCTAAGTATAACCATGAGCTCAGCTTCCTCCCCCAAGGAGGGCCAGGGCTGCTGTCCCTGTGGCCTGGGAAGTCCCTCCAGAGGGACTATTCCTGAAAGGCTGGATCAGCAGATCTACAGGGATCAAATCTGCCTTCTGAATCATCCTGCCCAGCAGGCCCAGGCTGGGGGTAAAAGTGGCTGGAGCCAGTACCTTTTGTCCCTGGAAGACACTCTGCAATGGGGCCACCTCGCAGGCCTTGTGGACCCCAAACACCTTGCACATGGAGCAGGTGGGCACCTCACACGTGAGACAGTAGATGTTGATTTTCTCATCTTCGTGCTCCTTGCACATGGGGTGACTGCCCTTCTGCAGCGGCCGACTGCAGTGGAGAACAGTCACAAGTCATGGGGGTCCTATGTCCTGCATCCCCCTCCCCAGCTCCAATGCACCAGTCGCAGTTACTGGGGAGGCTGAGGCGGGCGGATTGCTCAGCCCAGGAGTTCAAGGCTGCAGTGTGTCTGTGAATCTCCAGATTTATGCCCTGGGCTCTCAGTGTTTGGTTGCCCTAAAATCTTTTCATCCTCTGGGGATCAAGGACTTGGGAAGCCAATGACACCAAATCTGTCCCCACATCCTAAGATGGAGTTAGCCTGAGGCTCTGCCACTGCAAAGGACACAGAAAGGGCCATAGAATTCCAGAGAGTCAGACCTGGAGATGTTTTAGAGAAGAGGAAACTGGTCTCCAGAAAAGTGAATTGACTTGTGCAAGGTCATACAGCAAGTAAGGGCAGAGGAGGCTAGAGTTCGGTTGCTCTAATTATAGTCACCTTAGCTTTGGTTACTGCAGACTGGGCTCTGAGCTAAGAAATTTATACTGATGGCCTCATTTAATTCTATATTTAATCCACCAGACTGTAACCTCCATCAAGGTAGGGAAACTTGCTTGTTTTCTTCACCCCTGAGCCTACACTGTACAGTGCCTGGCATAGAGGAGGTGGTAATTAAACAAAGGTAGAAAGAATAAATCAATAAGGCTGGGCGCAGTGGCTCACGTCTGTAATCCCAGCACTTTGGGAGGCTGAGGTGGGAGGATCACCTGAAGTCAGGAGTTTGAGACCAGCCTGACCAATATGATGAAACCGTGTCTCTACTAAAAATACAAAAAATTAACTGGGCATGGTGGCGTGCACCTGTAATACCAGCTGCTCGGGAGGCTGAGGCAGGAGAATCACTTGAACCCAGGAGGCAGAAGTTGCGGTGAGCCGAGATCACACCATTGCACTCCAGCCTGGGCAACAAGAGCAAAACTCCGTCTCAAAGAAAAGAAAAGAAAGAATAAATAAATAACTAGCATAGGAGTCAATAATATTCACCATCTTGAATTTCTTAAGATTCTCCGTAAAGAAAATTTTTTTTAAAAAAGAATATTCACCACAGAGTCAGTCATACCCTCTCTTTCTCTTAGCTTCATCACTTTCTAGCTGTGTGGCCTTGGATAAACCTCCGACACTCTCTGAGTCATGAGGTTGCCCCTGAGGCTCAGAGAAGGAGCAGTGTGTATGCCCCATGTCATGGTGACTGGTGAGTGGGTAGCCCAGGGCTGTCCAACAGCCCAGCACAAGCCTGACTTCTAGTCCAGAGATTCTTCCAAGGGCCCAAGTGTCTTCCTTTACTTTCTCCTGTAATATATATGGGCATGGTGGCGCCATGAACTACCTTTCTTTCTTGAGGCCTTCCAACCTGTTATTTGTGCTTCTCTTGGGACATCAGTCATTTCCTAACCTAGATTCATTGGGGTTTGGGGGGGATTTTTTTGTTGTTGTTTTCTTTTGATTTTTTGCCCAGGCTGGAGTGCAGTGGTATGATCTCAGCTCACTGAAACCTCCGCCTCCCGGATTCAAGCAATTCTCACACCTCAGCCTTCTGAATAGCTGAGATTACAGACGTGCACCACCATGCCCAGCTAATTTTTGTATTTTTAGTAAAGATGGGGTTTTACCATGTTGGCCAGGCTAGTCTCGAACTCCTGGCCTCACATGATCCTTCCACCTTAGCCTCCCAAAGTGCTGGGATTACAGGCATGATCCCCTGCACCCAGTTTTTTTTTTTTTTTCTCCTTTTCTTTTCTTTTTTTTTTTTTTTTTTGGAGACAGTGTCTCACCGTATTGTCCAGGCTGGAGTGCAGCAGCAATTCACAGACACACTGCAGCCTTGAACTCCTGGGCTGAGCAATCCTCCTGCCTCAGCCTCCCCAGTAGCTGCAACTGGTGCATACCACCATGCCTGGTGTAGATTCGATTTTTTTAGCTTCTGTCTCCATCTAGACTATATACTCATTGAGAGCCAACACTACCTTCGATTCCCAGCCCCGAACAGAACAGGCATCTTGCAAATGTCAAATGGTGACTGTCCCCATCAGTGTCAATGCCTCACCTCCAAACAGCCTTACATGACTGATCGCACACTGGGCTCTACTGTCCTCTTAAGTTCTTAAATAAACCCCTTTCCAGGCTTGTCTTTTTGCATCTTTTACCCCAGGGTCCTTATGCTGGCAGGGGTCTGCCATTGCCACCTGCCTCCATCCCCTTATAAAGGGATGGCAGGGAATGCAGAGGTGAGGCAAGAGCCTGAGGGTCTGGTTCCTCCCAGATGCCCACCCTCTTGAGTTTCGACTTTGGCGTCGGGGTTCATATCCAGATTGTTCTTCTACATTCATTTTTGTGATTCTGGACAAGTGATTTCACTCTCTTGCCTGGGATTCCTCCCAGAGCTACTGCAATCATGGTAGAAATTGTCTGTAATGAATGTGGAGTGCCCGGCACAGAGCAGACTCTCAATAGAGGGCAGCTGTCGTTGCCATTCAACTATGCGGAAAGGCCTCAAAGGTTCACACACAACACGCTCTTCATAGGTTGGCACTGGGTGGGCTAACATTGGTGTGGAATTGATTTTATTATTCCTTATGATCAGCAATATGTTTGCATTTTGTAGTGTTGCGCTCTAGCAACATGAGAAGCAATCTAGCACAGTAATTAAGAATATTCACTGGCCAGCCGGGCATGGTGGCCCACGCCTGTAATGCCAGCACTTTGGGAGGCCAAGGCGGGTGGATCACCTGAGGTCAGAAGTTCAGGACCAGCCTGGCCAACGTGGTGAAATCCTGTCTCTACAAAAAATACAAAAATTAGCTGGGTATGGTGGTACATGTCTGTAATCCCAGTATTTTGGGAGGCCAAGGCGGGCAGATCACCTGAGGTCAGGAGTTTGAGACCAGCCTGGCCAACGTGGTGAAACCCTGTCTCTACTAAAAAACAAAACTTAGCTGGGCACGTTGTCACATGCCTGTAGTCCCTGCTACACAGGAAGCTGAGGCAGGGGAATCGCTTGACCCCAGGAGGCAGAGATTGCAGTGAGCCAAGATCGCACCACTGCTCTCTAGCCTAGGCGACAGAGCAAGACTCTGCCTCAAAAAAAAAAAAGAGAAAATTCCCACACCCTCTCTTTCTTAGCTCTACCACTTGCTAGCTGTGTGGTCTTGGAAAAATCCCTTGTCCTCTCTGAGCTTCAATTTCCTCATGGTAAAATGGAGACGGGAATGCCTTCCTGGGTTACTATAAGAAATAGATAGGGAGGCCGGGCGCGGTGGCTCACGCCTGTAATCCCAGCACTTTGGGAGGCCGAGGCGGGCGGATCACAAGGTCAGGAGATTGAGACCACGGTGAAACCCCGTCTCTACTAAAAATACAAAAAATTAGCCGGGCGCGGTGGCGGGCGCCTGTAGTCCCAGCTACTCAGGAGGCTGAGGCAGGAGAATGGCGGGAACCCGGGAGGCGGAGCTTGCAGTGAGCCGAGATCGCGCCACTGCACTCCAACCTGGGCGACAGAGCGAGACTCCGTCTCAAAAAAAAAAAAAAAAAAAGAAATAGATAGGGAAAATGCCTGAAAGTACTTCATACAGCGCCTGCACACAGTAGGTACCCAATAAATAGTTGATACATTAATCATTTTCCATTAATATCTTATTTGACAGCCACAATAACAGATCTTACTGTTTCTGTTTGCAGACAGAGGAAATGAAACTCTAAAGGCTTACCCAAGATGGTACAGTACATCAGTCACAGAGGCTGACTAGCAAGCACAGTTCCCCAGGCCAGGGTTTTTTTACCTGAGATCTGGTCTGTCACCTTCCCTTGGACTGGGCAGTGCTTGCAGGCAGATGCTTGGTGAAGGTTTTAGACCTTAAAGGCTGTGAGTCAGCACTCCTGGAGTCTTACCAGGATGTCCTGGTTTGTAAAAATCTTTCCTGTAGCTGTGTCTCTCCCAAATTTTTGTGGTGGGTGTGTGTGTGTGTGTGTGTGTGTGTGTGTGTGTTTAAATGGAGTCTCACTCTGTCACCCAGGCTGGAGTGTAGTGGCACGATCTCTGCTCACTGCAACCTCTGTCTCCCTGGTTCAAGCAATTCTCCTGCCTCAGCCTCCTAAGTAGCTGGGATGACAGGCATGCGCCACCACGACCGGCTAATTTTTGTATTTTTAGTAGAGATGGGATTTCACCATGTTGGCCAGGCTGGTCTCCAACTCCTGACCTCAAGTGATCCACCCACCTTGGCCTCCCAAAGTGCTGGGGTTACAGGCATGAGCCACTGCGCCTGGCCTCCCAGTTTTTTTGTCTGTTTGTTTGAGGCATAGTCTCACTCTGTCACCCAGGCTGGAGTGCAGTAGCACGATCATGGCTGTGCAACCTTGACCTCCCTGGCTCAACAATTCTCCTGAAGAGCTGGGACTGCAGGCATGCCCCACCACGCCCAGCTAGTTTTTAACCTTTGTAGAAACAGGGTCTCTCTATGTTGCCCTGACTGGTCTTGAACTCCTGGCCTCAAACAATCATCCCACCTTGGCCTCCCAGAGTGTTGGGATTACGAGCGTGAGCCACCACACCTGGCCCTCTCTCCCCAGTTTAAGGCTAACCCTGCACAACCTCCACCAGTTACACATTCTGCCTCTGAATGAGCTGCTATTTTATTAGCAGGGAGACTCAGAGCTAGATCAACTGGGCCAGCTCCCAGCTCTTTCACTTTCCAGCTGGAAAACCTTAGCTAATTGACTTCACCTCTTGGGCAGTTTCCTCACCTGTGAAATGAGGATAATAAAGTCATGCCTGATTCATAGAGTTATCGGAAGGTACTAAGATGAAGCATTCCCCGTGCCTGACAGTTCCTCGTGGCACACAGGAAAGTAGCTGTTGCTATCCTTATAGACAACCTGGCTGTTTCTCACTGGGCATTTTCTCTGCTGACTGGAGCCACTTAGCTGGCCCCAGGGCCTTTCTCTCCCTCTCACATCTCATCTTTCCCCCAGTCTCTGTCTTGGTATCGCCTGGAAGGGCAGCCTAATGTCTGGACCCCTTCCCATCCGCTGAGTGATCCTGAGCGCCGAGTTGGGGTGTATGGGTCTCCAATCCTGTCTCTGAACTGGCTCGTGTAGCTAGTCCAGCTAGAGGCCTGGATCCTGAGCAGATGAAGGAAGGGGAAGGAGCTTGGGGGAGCTGGGCACAGCATGGCTGAGAAGGAGGATGGGCCCCCAGCAGGCATGAGAACCGACCTGGAGCACTCCTGTTTGTAGATGTCAATGATGTTCTCCACCAGCAGGTTCCTCTGCAGGCCGTACACTCCGTGACGATCCATGATCACCTCGTGGCGGCAGGTGGGGCAGCGGAAACGGCCTCCAGACATGGATACCGAGCTGCCCCGGCCGGTCCAGTAGGGATTTGCAGCCTGCAGGTGGCAAAGGTCAAGGTGAGGCCTGGGCTCCCTCCTCAGCCCTTCCCCTTTCTAATCTCCTCTTATCCTTTCCTCTGCCTGCCCCAACCACCCCAGTCAAACCTAATGACCTGGAGCTCCGCAGGCTGTGATGAGAACCAGTCCTCACATACAGAGCACCTGAGATGCAGCTAAGCAATCGTCAGGATGGGGAGGCAGGAGACCTGGGTTCAAGTCATGTTAATTCTCTGAGTGATTTTGGGCAAGCAACCTTATCTCTCTAAGCCTCAGTTTGCCCACTTATGAAATGGGTATTACAATGAGAGCAAGCTCCTAAGGCTGCTACTTTAAAGATAATATCGTGAAAGAACATTTTGTAAAGTGTCCCTGGGGAACCTCGCATCCTGCCTCCCAGCCAGGACACCTACCCCCTTCCTTTCTTGGGGATTTGGAGCCGCTTCTGTCCCCATATTGTAGGGAACAGCCTCGAAAGGGAAGACGCCTCTACTGCCCACTGCCTCCCCGACACCCTCCTCCCAAAGCTCTGGGCCTCTTGCCACCAGGACCTGGCTCCAGCCCCAGGGGTCTGGTTTCTCTCTCCTGTCCCTGCCTTCCCCGCTTATCACTTGAGGCATTTGACTCTTGATTGGAGAGTCAACAGCAGTGCTCAGGGCAGGGGTGGGGGAGCTGTGGGCAGGGTGGGGAGGGGAAACGCGTCATGGAGAAGAACTGCAACAGCTAGAGCTGCCTCCCATCCCCTCTCAGCCCTGTCTAGAGGCCTCTGCAGGGGTTCACTTCCAAGGGAAAAGAGTTAGAAGGCTAAGGGAGAAGAAGGGCTTCATTCGGAAAGCCGAGTAGCCACCTGGGACCCCCGGATGAGGCTGCACCCGGCACTGACCTGGAAGATGTCATTGGCACACTTCCGGCACAGGTTGTGCTGGCACGGCAAGATGACCACTGGCTTGGTAAACATCTCCAGGCAAATAGGGCAGATCAGCTGCTTCTCCAGGTTCTCCATGGGGTTCCCATCCTGGATCAGGCTCGACTTATAATCCATTCTGTGGGCAGGAGTGAGAGCCGCGCCTAGCTGCCTCCTCTACTGACTTTGCTCTAAGTAGACCTGGGGAGTCTTGCCTTTGTCACGAAACACCAGGTCGGATCCTGTTGGCTTCCTTCTCCTGGTGCCCGAATTCTGTCTTGGTCTGAGGCCCCTCTGATATTTATAGCTAGATCTTGGTCACATGAGCTCCAGGAGGGGACCAGCTGAGCATTCCGATGCCAAGCGGCTGGTGGGGCTTGAGTTTCCTCCAGGCCTGAAAGACTGGCCCTCTCGAATCACATGCAGGGATGAGCAATCGCTGTTCTTCTGGGACGGGGGTCATAAACAAGAACAGCCTGTTCAGAGGCAGGCTTAGGGGAAGACTGGGTACCCAGAGCTTCCTCCAGAAATTGGTCTCCCCCCGGCACCAGGCTAGCGGGTCAGGGATAGGACCCAGCAAGTGAGCCACTGGGATTCAAAGGGTTAATAGCCAATGCTATGATGAAAATGTCGAACATTTTTCTGAGTACTGGTGTACATCAGGTAACTAATATACATCACAATGTGACAGATGGATGAGTGATTTGTTTCCCTGCCCTGAGAAACTCACAGCCCAGGAAGGGAGATAGAAAGGATCGTGCAGTGGTGCGATCTCTGCTCACTACAACCTCTGCCTCCCAGGTTGAAGCCTCCCGACCCCAACCCCCTCCCAGCCCCGCTCAACCCCTCACTGACCTAAATCAATTCCATCCCCTCTTCTGGAGTCCTGAGCAGCTCCTAGATGGAAGGGTCAGGCAGCCCCTCTCTCTGAGCTCATCCCTCTGCCTCAGACCTCAGCACAGCATTTTGCTGGAGACAGTGGAGACCCCCACCCCAGCCAGCCCATCCTCCATCCCTTGGCCACTTATTTCACTCAGTGCTGAAAGGCCTCCCTTGAAACGCAGTCCAGTCCCCTCATCTTATAGATTTTGAAATGGGACTAGAGAAGAAAAGGATTATATTCAAAGTCAGTTAGAAAGTAAGTGACAGCCGGGTGTGGCGTCTCACACCTGTAATCCCAGCACTTTGGGAGGCTGAGGCAGGTGGATCATGAGGTCAGCAGTTCAAGACTAGCCTGGCCAACATGGTGAAACCCCATCTCTACTAAAAATACAAAACTTAGCTGGGTGTGGTGGTGCGAGCCTGTAATTTCAGCTACTCGGGAGGCTGAAGCAGGAGAATCACTTGAACCCGAGAGGCAGAGATTGCAGTGAGCTGAGATGGCGCCACTGCACTCCAGCCTGGGCGACAAGAGAGAAACTCCATCTCAAAACAAAACAAAAAAAAAAAAAAAAAGAAGAAGAAAGTAAGTGGCAAAGCCAGACATTTTATTCATTCATCAGACATGTTTCTGAGTACTAGTATACATCAGGCAACTAGTATACATCACAACATGACAAATGGATGAGTGATCTGTTTCCCTGCCGCAAGAAACTCACAGCCGAGGAAGGCAGATAGAAAGGAAAAACCTGCCGGGTGCGGTGGCTCACGCCTATAATCCCAGCACTTTGGGAGGCTGAAGTGGGCAGTCGGATTGCCTGAGGTCAGGAGTTTGAGACCAGCCTGGCCAACATGGCGAAACCCTGTCTCTACTAAAAATACAAAAATTAGCTGGGTGTGATGGCACACACCTGTCATCCCAGCTACTCGGGAGGCTGAGGCAGGAGAATTGTTTGAACCCAGGAAGTGGAGGTTACAGTGAGCGGAGATCGCGCCACTGCACTCCAGCCTGGTGACAGAGTGAGACTCTGTCTCAAAAAAAAGAAAAGAAAGGAAAACCCCTCATGCGGTGCCACAAAGCCCTGCCTGGACACTTAGAAGGCTTCCCTCAGCTCTCTGCACACATTTTAACTTTTCTCCGTATTTCTTAGGACATCTTCCACATTGGCAGGTAGAAGTCATTAGAGCAGTTCCAGTGGCTGTTTTGTTTTGTTTTGTTTTGTTTTTTCGAGACGGAGTTTCACTCTGTTGCCCATGCTGGAGTGCAGTCGTGCCATCTCAGCTCACTGCAACCTCCGCTTCCCAGGTTGAAGCGAGTCTCCTGACTCAGCCTCCTAAGTAGCTGGGACTACAGGCGTATGTCACCACACCCGACTAATTTTTGTATTTTTAATAGAGATGGGTTTTTACCATGTTAGCCAGGCCAGTCTCCAACTCCTGACCTCAGGCAATCTGACTGCCTCGACCTCCCAAAGTGCTGGGATTACAGGTGTGAGCCACTGTGCCTGGCCTCCAGTAGCTGTTTTTAAGGTAGCATCTAATGAAAGGACCGTGGGGTCATCCGGTCCAAGGTGATGAGGCAGAGATATGGAGCAATGGTATCAGGTCCCAAAATAAGTCTAAGAGGCCATGGAATACTCAGGAGAGGTATGAAGGATTTCAAGAAAGAGGAATGACGGGAAAAATGAGACAAGACATAGAGCGGAGAAGCAAACCTTGGAAGAGAGGAAATGGGAGAAGAAGAAGAGGAACAAGTTACAGAAAAAGGAAGAGGCCTTAAAAACAAAGGGCTGGCCGGGCACGGTGGCTCAAGCCTGTAATCCCAGCACTTTGGGAGGCCGAGACAGGCGGATCACGAGGTCAGGAGATCGAGACTATCCTGGCTAACACTGTGAAACCCCGTCTCTACTAAAAAAATACAAAAAACTAGCCAGGCGAGGTGGCGGGCGCCTGTAGTCCCAGCTACTTGGGAGGCTGAGGCAGGAGAATGGCGTGAACCTGGGAGGCGGAGCTTGCAGTGAGCTGAGATCCGGCCAGTGCACTCCAAGCCTGGGCGACAGAGCGAGACTCCGTCTCAAAAAAAAAAAAACAAAAAACAAAGGGCTGGAGGATTTTGAGGAGAGAGTTGCCCCCCAAAATTTTGCTGAGCACTTAGGTTTTGCTGAGCACTTACTATGTGCTATGCATTGTGCTAAATGCTTTGTATGCTTTATTTCATTTCACCATCTCAACAGCCAATAACAAAAGACCCATAATATCCCCACTCCACAAGTGAGGAAACTCAGGCACACAGGTAAAATACTTGTATGAGGTCACACAGAGAGCACGAGGTGGCTCTAGGACATGAACCCAGATATGCTTGACTTAGGAACCCAAGCTCCTAATGTAGACTCTACTGAACTGTGTTTGGGTCAAGTCAACACTGTCAGGTCAGCCAAGGTTTGGAAGAGGATGAGGACTGAAAAAAGGCCATCTCTTCTTCCCTGCTCATGGGACCTCACTTTAGTTAAGGCATTGGGTAGCATTGTGCTCTAGGAAGATGGACCTCTCCACGGCCACAGGAGATGAGTTACAAACGGTTTAAGCCTATCATACAACCCCATTCTCTTTTGCCTAATGATGCAGTTATGGCCAATGAGACCCAAGGATATGTCTGTTGGCTAAAGATAAAGGATCTCCTCCATGATAAAAACGAATGTGCAAGAACAAAGTTTCATCTTTACCTTTGAATGGGGTTGTGAGAGGGTAGAGCAGCTATCTTGCAACCACAAGGGGACAAGGCTGAGCATGATGTCAACACCCTGAGGATGGCATAGAGGAACCACAGGAGGTACCCGGGTTAGAGATGCCATCATTGCGTTGCCAATTTATCCAACCCTAGAGCTGCCCGTCTCTTGACTTCTTAAGACGTGAGATATCAAATGCCATTATTGTGTAATTACTCTGTTACTTGAAGCAGTAAGCACCTCATAAACATGCATGATTCCAGCTCCCATATGCTGATGATTCTCTACTCTCTAATTCCAGTTCAGACTTCTCTCTCCCCTAAGCTAAAGATTTGTTGGAGATTTCTACTGGGATGTTCTAATAGTATCTCAAATTCATCATACTCCAGCCAGAACACACCATCTTCCCCAATACCTAGCTCCTCCTTCCATTTTTCTTGTCTCACGTCTTAGTGAACAGCATTACCATCCACCCATTTGCACCAACCAGGAAGTTGAGAGTCACCTTGGGGTTCCCTCTTCTTCTCATCACATGCCTAGTTAATCTCTGTGTCAGGCATGGTCCATCTTTGCATCTCATTTGCCATATTACCATCATCTGCTTGTGGGTCTGACTCTCCCTCTGGACTTTGAAGACGTTGAGGGCAAAGATGGTCTCTATTCATCTCTGTACCCCCAATGCCTAGCACATAGTAGGCACTCAACAAATGTTTGACTGGGTGCGGTAGCTCACACCTATAATCCCAGCACTTTGGGAGGCCAAGGTGGAAGGATCATTTGAGCCCAGGAGTTAGTGTGAGACCAGCTTGGGCAACATAGTGAGATCCTATCTCTACAATAAATAAAAAAATTAGCTAGGCGTAGTGTTGCCCATCTGTAGTCCCAACTACTCAGGAGACTGAGATGGGAGGATTTCTTGAGACTGGGTGGTTGAGGCTGCAGCAAGCTGTGATCACACCACTCCACTCCAGCCTGGGTGACAGAGTGAGACCCTGTCTCAAAAAAAAAAAAGTTTATTAAATGAGTGGACAAGTGAATGAGTAGGTTAAATATAAAGAAGCAGCTGCATCACTGTCAGACTTGGAGAAGGTTCAGATATTCGAGCAAGTTTTTTTTGTTTTGTTTTGTTTTTTTGAGACAGAGTCTTAACTCTGTCACCAGGCTGGAGCTCAGTGGCACAATCTTGGCTCACTGCAACCTCCACCTCCCAGGTTCAAGCCATTCTCCTGCCTCAGCTTCCCCAGTAGCTGGGATTACAGGCGCCTACCACCACGCCCAGCTAATTTTTGTATTTTTGGTAGAGATGGGGTTTCACCATGTTGGCCAGGATGGTCTCGATCTCCTGACCTTGTGATCCGCCCCCCTTGGCCTCCCAAAGTGCTGGGATTACAGGTGTGAGCCACTGAGCCCAGCAATTTTTTTTTTGGCTGAGATGGTGCAGCCAATGGAAAAAAAGTACTGGAAATGGGGTTTTGGGGAGATGGAGTAAATTCTAAAGCCTTGGGAAGGAGAGGGACGCTCCAACCTTTAAGCTGGAAGGATGGAAAGAGCAGAATGGAAGGAGGTGTTGGGAGTTGGAGAGAAAGGTGTTTATATTTGATGACCTTGATCAAGAGAGCATTGAGGTCAACTTCTGAGGCTAAGGCATCAGTGGTGGAAAAGATGTGGACCAGCCAGTGTGGAACACGAGAGGAAGTGCCCTGGAGAGAGATGGAAGGACTGTCTAAGAGCAGAAGAGCCTCGCTGATGTTTTCCAGTACTGACGTGTCATTTGCAAGGAGCCATTCACATGGCCCTGTTGACTTTCTCCAGCCGCACTTGGCAGTCCAGGTGCAGATGCCAAACAAATGGACAGTGGGATCAACTCCAGCCGGGGCGCTGGCAAGGCCAGTGCTGCTGAAAGTCAAGGGGTGAGGAAGGGAAATTCCCACGTGGGCTGTGCTGGGCATCAAAACATGTCATTTAATCCTTACCACAGTCCTGCAGGGGAGGTTTTATGATCTTCGGGTTTTTTCCCAGGAGGAAATGAGGCTCAGAGAGTTAATTGGCTTGGCCGGAGTCACACAGCCACAAGTGGCAGAGCCGAGCTGGGGTTCATATCCACGGTAGCCTGATTCTTCAACCTGTGCTCCCCTCACTGGAGGATTTACTGAGTGCTTATTATGTTCAGGCATTGTGCTAAGTCCTTTCCATCCTCCTGTTCAGTCCTCCAAATGACTTGGTACAGCAGGGATCATAATTTTCCCTGTTTTGCAGGTGAGCTTCAGAGGCTCAGTGAGGATAAGTCACACAGCCAAAGTCCCCCACCAGTGAGTAGCAGAGTCAGCATCAGAATCAGGAAGTTATAAACCAGCATCATTACAGTTATGAGAACATACCATAAGACTATAGTACCGGCAGATGAAGAGACAATTATGGAACATTAGTGGTGTGTCCAGACCTAGAGCTCTTAACCACTACATTTACTGTCTCCCTCTCTGCAAGTCACTTCGTTTCTTTTTTTTACTCCTTATGAATGACAGTTTCAAACACACAAACTAGAGAGAACAATATATTGAGCTCATGTAATCAAACCCAGCTTAACTTGTTCATCATTGCCCCAATATTCCCACACACTTCTTTTATCTTTTCTTTATTTCTTGAGACAGAGTTTCACTCTTGTTGCCCAAGCTGGAGTGCAATGGTGCGATCTCGGCTCACTGCAACCTCTGCCTCCCGGGTTCAAGCAATTCTCCTGCCTCAGCTTCCCGAGTAGCAGGGATTACAGGCACATGCCACAATACCCGGCTAATTTTTGTATTTTTAGTAGAGACGGGGTTTCACCATGTTGGCCAGGCTGGTCTCGAATTCGTGACCTCAAGTGATCAGCCCACCTCAGCCTCCCAAAGTACTAGGATTACAGGCGTGAGCTAGTGAGCCTGGCCCACACTTCTTTTTTCTACATTTTTCTTTCTTTTTTTTTTGAGACAGAGTCTCACTCTGTTGTCCAGCCTGGAGTGCAGTGGCGTGATCTTGGCTCACTGTAACCTCTGCCTCCCAGGTTCAGGTGATTCTCCTGCCTCAGCCTCCTGAGTAGCTGAGATTACAGGCACTCACCACCACGCCCGGCTTTTACTTTTAGTAGAGATGAGGTTTCACCATGTTAGCCAGGCTTGTCTTGACTCTTGACCTCAGGTGATCCGCCCACCTCGGCCTCCCAAAGTGCTGGGATTACAGGCGTGAACAACCACACCCAGCCTTTTCTTTTCTTTTTGAGAAGGAGTCTCACTCTGTTGCCCAGGCTGGCTGGAGTGCAGTGGTGTAATCTTGGCTCACTGCAACCTCCCCTCCTGGGTTCAAGCAATTCTCTGCCTCAGCCTCCCATGCCGGGCCTTTTCTAAAATATTTTAAAGAAAATGTTAGACATCAAGTCATTTCACCCATAAATACTCCAATATGCATTTCTAATAGATAAGGATTTTTGTTACATAATCACCATGCCATTATGTTAACAAACAATAATTTTTTTTTTTTTTTTTTTGAGACAGGGTCTCACTCCGTCACTCAGGCTGAGACCTCTGTTGTTTTTGTCTCATGGATCTCTTTTAAACTGTAACAACCGTCATCCCTCTCTTTCTTCTGTGCCATTGATTTGTCAGAGAATTATTCTGGGTATTATGGTTCTCATTTTTGCATATCATGCACTGAAGCTTAAGTGATTTGTAGAAAGTCACCCAGCTAAGCAACAGACCTGTCATTTAGAATTGCTCCCAAAATTCTGTGTCACGAGTATAGGAAGCTGTAGTGTCTTCTTCCCAGCTGGGTAGAAGACAGGCAAGGAATCAGGGAGAATGGTCTAGGCCTGGCAAGGAAAAAGGGAGGTAGAGGGTAATAGCAATTATAATCCTATTTTTTATTGATTCAATGCTTGCAAGTGGCTGGACATCTACAAAGAGTTTCGAGGCACTATTTTATTTAGTCCTCACAACAATCATAAATAGGTTATACTTAAATTTTAATCGACAGGTAAAAATTGCACATATTTATGGTGTACAACATGATGTTTTGATATATGTCTATATTGTGGAATGGCTAAATCAAGCTATTTAACATGCATGACCTCACATACTTACTGTTTCGTGGTGGGAACACCTAAAATCTACTCTCTTAGCAATTTTCAAGTATACAGGTCATACTTACTGTCCTTGTTTTACAGATGAGGCACAGATCAAGGTATGGAGTTGCCCCAGGACCCACAGCTCATGCAGGCAAAGCTGCAACAGGCCTGTTTAACTCTCAAGGTCTAGCTTTTTCTTTTTCTTTTTTTTAGACAAAGTCTTGCTCTCTGTCACCCAGGCTAGAGTGTAGTGGTGCTATCTCAGCTCACTGCACCCTCCACCTCCTGGGTTCAAGCGATTCTCATGCCTCAGCCTCCCAAGTAGATGAGATTACAGGTGCCTGCCACCATGCCTGGCTAATCTGTTGTATTTTTAGTAGAGATGGGTTTTCACCATGTTGGCCAGGCTGGTCTCAAACTCCTGACCTCAGGTGATCTGCCTGCCTCAGCCTCCCAAAGTGCTAGGATTACAGGCATGAGCCATCGTTCCCAGCCTATGCTTTTTTTTTTTTTTTTAAATTGTCTCTAGAAAGGGGACTTTTCAGAGATCTGAAATCTCTGCTCACTGCAAGCTCTGCCTCCTGGGTTCACGCCATTCTCCTGCCTCAGCCTCCCGAGTAGCTGGGACTATGGGCGCCCGCCATCACGCCCAGCTAATATTTTGTATTTTTAGTAGAGATGGGGTTTCACCATGTTAGCCAGGATGGTCTCGATCTCCTGACCTCGTGATCCACCCACCTTGGCCTCCCAAAGTGCTGGGATTACAGGCATTAGCCACCGCGCCTGGCGAGAAATCTGAGAGTTTTTTAACGCCTCTTGATTCAGAGGAGAAAACCCCGGCCTAGGGCCCAGACACCTGGGCTCCATCTCCATCTCCGTTGGAGAACTGAAATGTGATGCCCAGCAAACCACACCCACCCTCAGTTTCTTCATCTGCCAAATGGAGCATCCACAGATGATCCTGGACGGTCCTTCCACGTCCCCAGTGGCCAGATTCTCAGAGGAGTGCTCCAGTGATGACACAGGCCCAAGGGGTGGTGATGCTGGAGAGGAAACCACCGTCCGTCTCCCCTTTCATGTCCCCATAGTTCAGGCTTGTGGAAATGCTTCCCTGTACATCATAGAGCAGATCTTTTTCTCGTGTGTGTACCTGTTCTCCCTCATGTCCTCCCTAGGAGCGTGAGGTCTGCCCCGCCTTGCTCTGGATTTCCCCTCAAGCCTCTGCTTGGAGCACCCTCGGGAAGTGGAGCAGGTGTGGCACAGGCACTGTTTTTTTCTTATGGTTTAAGATCCTCATCACATGCTTTGATGTCATCCTCATTGAAGAATCATCTCAAATCACAGGATCAAACCGATGGGTCATTTGATCTAGTGGCTAAAGCTGGAGCAGTTGGCAGAGGCAGGTCCATGGGGTCTGGGACATGAAGCAGTGCCCTCAGTGCCAGGGCAAAGTCCACTGGGCCTGGCCTGCATGCCACAGAAGGGGAGCAGAGTGTCCCAGGACCTCCTCACTCATGGCCCGGGCTGGGAGCCACACAGGCCTCCTCCTACTGTCCCCAGGGCCAGATAATGCTTGTGGACAGCTACAAGGGCTCTGGGGAGTGGGTGGTCTTTAGAGAAAGGGACTGTCCCAGGGCGAATGGAGGCAAGTAGGGTCAGGAGGGGGCTCTGCATTAATTATCCTGAAATGAAGTATTGAAAGTGCTTTATAAACTGTGCAACATATAAACTGTGAAATGCAATACATCCTTACTATAAGACCCTAAGAGTGTAGAGCAACAAAGAGGCTGCCCCAGGACAAATGGATCTGAGTTCAAGTTTTGACTTCTCCACATATCAGCTCTTTTATCTTGGGCAGGTTACGTGACCTGTGTGTGTGAGTTTCCTCATCTATGAAACGACAAATGGGTAGAGTAATGATGTCTGTGGGCATTTCTAGTCCTGAGAGTCAAGGGTTCCTGGTGACTATCCTCCCCTAGCATTCTATCCCTTGCTGAAAACTAATGGCACAGAAGTGGGAGTCCATTTGCACAGGCACATAGCACACGTCTGACACATGGTAGACACTTAACAAACGTTGTTAACATTATCACAGCTAGGAGTAACACGAGTTAGCATTTACTGAACAGTGAGTATGGGTAACCCCATGGCTTGCATACCATCTGTTGTTGCATAACAAATTATCCCAAAATGTAGCAGCTTAAGACAATAATAAACATTTATTATCTCACACAGTTTCTATGGGTCAGGAATTCAAGAGCAGCTAAGTTGGGTGGTTCTGGATCTGGTCTCTAAGGAGGTTGTAGTCAAGAAGTTGGCTTGGGCTGGGCACGGTGGCGCATGCCTGTAACCCCAACACTTTGGGAGACTGAGGCAGGAAGCTTGATCCAGGAGTTTGAGACTAGTGTGGGCAACAAAGGAAGACCTTGTCTCTACAAAAAAAAAAAATTTTAGCTGGGCATGGTGATGCGTGCCTGCAGTCCTAGCTACTCAGGAGGCTAAGGTAGGAGGATCACTTGAGCCCAGGAGGTCAAGACTGCAGCGAGCTGTGATAGTGCCACTGTACTCCAGGCCGGGCAGCACAGTGAGACTCTCACTGTATTTTTTTTTTTTTTTTGAGTCTCACTGAGTCTAAAAAAAAAAATATATATATATATATATAGGCTGGGGCTGCAGTTGAGTTTAGCAGAATGCTTGACTGGAGCTGAAGGATCCACTAACAAGATGGCACACTCATAGTTGGCAACTTGGTGAGAGGCCTCAGTTCCTCAGTACATAATACCTCTCCATAGGGCTGCTTGAGCATCCTTATAACATGGCACTGGCTTCCCCCAGGGCCAGTGATCCAAAAGAGCAAGACAAAAGTGGTACTATATTTTATGACCTAGCCCCAGAAGTCACACACTATCATTTCCACTGTATTCTATTGGACACACAGACCAACCCTGATACAGTACGGGAGGCAACTGCACAAGGACCTGATTACCAGGAGGCAAGAATTTTTGAGCTCTATCTTGGAGGCTATCACAGTCTGTTCTAAGTGTTTAATAGGTATTAATTCATTTGTTAATTCATGACACTGATACCAGTATAATCCCCATTTTACAGATGAGAAAACTGAGTCACACAGAGATTAAGTAACTTGCTTAAGGTTGCACTTCTAGGAAATGGACTGGGGTGTTGTCGTGGACTGAATGCTTGTGTTCCCCCAAAATTCACATATGGAAGCCCTAACCCCAAATGTGAAGGTATTTGAAGATGGGGCCTTTGGGAGGTAATTAGGGTTAGATGAGTTCATGAAAGTAGGTCCAATGGCATTCGTGCCCTTATAAGAAGAGACACAAGGCTGGGCAGCTGGGCAGAATGGGCATGGTGGCTCACGCCTATAATTCCAGCACTTTGGGAGGTCAAGGTGGAAGGATCACTTGAGCCCAGGAGTTCGAGACCAGCCTGGGCAATAGAACAGACCTTGTCTCTACCAAAAAAAAAAAAAAAAAAAAAAAAAAAATTAGCTGGGTGTAATGCCACATACTGTAGTCCCAGCTACTTGGGAGGCAGAGGTGGGAGAATTTCTTGAGCCCAGGAGCTGGAGGCTGCTGCAGTGAGCTATGATTACGCCACTGCTCTCCAGCCTGGGCCACAGAGAGAGACCCGTCTTTAAAAAAAAGAACAAGAGAGACACAAGAAAGCTTGCTCTCCTTTCCTCTCTGTTTCTCTTGCTGTCTCTATGTCTCTCTGAAACCGCCTTTGCAAAAATTATAACTGAGGAAACTATGACAGTGACAGATTTCAGATTTAACCAACTCCGTCTTGCTTCTAACCTTTAAGCAGTCCTTGTTCATTCTTGGGCTTAAGTCAAACTAATCTAGGGAGGCATTTAGTTTGAAACAAAATTGATAATAGCCCTTTCCTGAAAAGACCCCCTTCTTCTGTTGGGACCAGTTTGCTTTTGTAGGACTAACAAATTAGCTACAAGATTAGATATTATGCAGCCTCTGACTCCAAGAGTCTGAACCTCCCCCAAATTGCTCCTGGGGACATCACTATTGTAAAACCTGAGATCAGTGCTTAAGATATTTTGCAGATCCTGTACTTGATGGATCAGCTGACACCACCCAGACCAGTAATCTGACTCAACCAGTTCTGCCATCTCATCCAGGAACAGAAGACTGCAAGAAAACTTAACTTTGATCCCCTCTATGATTCCATCTCCAACCTGACCAATCAGTACTCCCCACTTACTGAGCCCCTACCCACCAAATTATCTTTAAAAACTCCGATCCCCGAATGCTTGGGCAGACTGATATGAGTAATAATCAAACTCCAGTCTCCCACACAGCCGACTGCGTGAATTATTCTTTCTCCATTGCAATTCCCCTGTCTTGATAAATCGGCTCTGTCTAGGCAGCAGGCAAGGTGAACCTGTTGGGCAGTTGCATCTCTCTCCCTTTCTCTATGCATGCACGCCAAGGTAAGACCATGTGAGCACATAGCAAGAGGGTAGCTACCTACAAGTCAAGAGAAGATAACTCAGAATAAAATCACCTTGATCTTGGACTTGCCAGCCTCCAGAACTGTGAGAAGTAAATTTCTGTTGTTTAAGCCACCCAAGCTGTGGGATTTTAGCAGACTCATCTGACATTGCACTCAGAGGGTTCAGGATTCGACTTCAGAGCGCTGACTGTTTAGCCCTTGTTCTTAACCTTTCCCTCTTTTTCCAGGACTAACACAGGCCCTGGCGCCCC